TTTTTTGGGTGGCCACATTTTATTTTGTGTTATCCTAATTCGGTCCACCTTTCTACGTGAGCGGGGTCGCAATATGACATTACCTTTTCGGTTTGTTGTTTCTAATAATTTTGTTGGTCCTAACATAACATTATTGGTATTGGATATCCTTCTCAATATATGCTTACCAGTATTCGTAAAATATTCACTATAATGTTGCCAGATCAAGAGCTTCGCCATGGACATCCTTAAACGGAGCTCCTCCAAGTGGGTCCCATCCATGATAACCTCCCTCGACGCCATGTGGACCGAAATCGACTCAAAGCTCGCCAGCTCAGGTCCCGTCGGCACCCTCGGCTACTTCATCCCTCTCCAACAGTTCCTCTTCTCCTTCCTCAGCCGATGCCTCCTCGACGCGGACCCCACTTCTGTCCCGGACATCCAAAAATCCGGCCACATAATGCTCGACAAGTGGCTCGCCCTCCAACTCCTCCCCACAATCAGCATCAACGTTTTGCAGCCCCTCGAAGAAATCTTCCTCCACTCGTTCGCCTACCCTTTCTGGCTCGTCAAATCCGACTATCAAAAGCTAGCGGGCTTCGTAAGGTCCAAGGCCCGTGAAACGGTGACCCGGGCCCAAACCGAATTCGGTCTAACGGAAGACGAGGCTGTCCACAACCTACTCTTCATCTTGGGGTTCAATGCTTTCGGGGGCTTCTCGATTTTCCTCCCAAAGCTTTTGTCCAATCTCGGAGAACAGAAGAAGAGCACGCACGACGAGCTGAGGAAGGAGGTTCGGGAGAAGCTCTCGTCGGGAGGAAAAATGCTCGGTTTCGAGACGGTGAAGGAGATGGACTTGATAAACTCGTTCGTTTACGAGACCCTTCGTTTGAGCCCGCCCGTCCCGTCACAGTTCGCGCGGGCCCGGAAAGATTTCGACCTCAGCTCGCACGATAAGGTATATGGGATCAAGAAAGGGGAGCTTTTGTGTGGTTATCAGCCCGTCGTGATGAAGGATCCGAGAATATTTGAAAATCCCGAAACTTTTGTTTACGACAGGTTTAGCAAGAGGAATGGAGGTGATGACCTGCTTAAGTACCTGTTCTGGTCAAACGGCCCGCAAAGCGGGTCAGGTGGCCCGAGTGTGTCGAACAAGCAGTGTGCCGCTGCAGAGGCAGTGCCGATGACGGCCGCTGTTTTTCTGGCGTATTTGTTTCAGAGGTATGATGACATCACCATTTCGTCGGGCTCGATTACTTCACTCGAAAAGGCCAAGTGACTTGTGTTTTTAAGGTGTGTTGTGTTGTTCTGGTGTTGTTCTACATGGAAAAACAAGAAAAAGGCTAATAAATAGTAGTATGTATTTGCATATTGTTCTGAGTATTATTTCAAACAATAATCAAGATTCAGACATGAAGAACATAAGAATAAGTCCAGTTTCTTTTTCTTTTTTTTTTTTCTCCAGTCATTGATAGGGGACATTTATCAAACTACGAATATTTATATCATGCATCGATTGAATAATGAGAATTTTGTTTCGACAAGACTAACCGATCGAGCCAGGTGCATCAAGGGATTCCATCATCATGCCAGTTTCGAGTCGCAATTCCTTTTTCTGCACTGTATAACAAGCGGAAGTTGATATTCGTACTAAGAACAAATTGTTTACACGACGAAATATGTAACTTTTCATTGCATAACGGGATTCCAGCAAATATTTGATAATAACAATGGAA